TCGCATTTCGTATTTTCTTATCAGAATTTCTTAAGCAGAAAAGGCTAAGATTATCAATTCCCGACAAATAAATTAGGTTGTTTTCTATGAATGCAATGTTATTGATAATTAAAAACAAAAAAACCTAATCTCTGGTGGTTAACTAGAATATGCTCTAATCTGTGCCCATATTCAATATTGATGCACGTTTAAATGAATATTTCGATTTAAGCAGAAAGAGAATGTAAGCATCTACAGCGTCTCTCACCAAAAATAAATTTGTTGGCAGTAGCTTTGAAAGATATAAGAAAAATAATAAGATATGTAAACTGTACAAAGATGCTTGGAAAGAAGAGAACCATGAAGGGCTACCAAGAGTAAACGGAATATGCACAGCAATCAGAGTGGCGAACTGGCTGACCTATGTCACACAGATATCTGAACTAGTAGAATTCGAATGAATAATTAAATGAGTACAACACGTTTTCATTGCGTGAATGGATTATTCAAAAACAAGTAAGAACGTTGCAGTTGGGCGTTGCCGACTGCAGAATACTCACTCACAGTCCAAACGCTGTCAGCCCGATGAAATTTTCAAGTCTCGAGTATTACAGTAGTGAGGATTTCAAAGCCTCTGCGGTGTTATATGGCCTGTTACAAATATTCGTCTTATAAATTAGATATTTTATTGCGAGTGCCCGAGCTTGAATGCAGATCATGAATCTGAGCCCATTCAAAATGTGAAATCAGCAACTTTTGCCTATTACTTAAATTTTCATTCATAACCAAATATCGAAAATATTTCTTTATTGAAACTTTACTAAAGATAATTTAGAACTTTACACATTTTGGTTCGATAATTGAGGTCTTATACATTTAGAAGAGGCGAAAGCTATTAGAGCAGTTAGCACATACACTCAACCAATTCAAGCTTTGAAAGCTTGTCGGCAAGGGTAAAGCTTAAAGCTGTCGAGCATGAATTTATTTATGAAACTTGAAAATAAAATGTTTGTTAAGCTATGCAAAAGCTCAACTTCAGGAAGTGGGTATATGTTAAGTAAATATGTTTGAAAATAAATATAATATCTGATCAATTTGTGTATTAGATAAGCATATGTACTTTTTTTTTAAATAATTAAAGTTTTCCCATTAATTGAACTATTAAGTTAAAAAATATTTTTTCTTTTTAGTTTTTTGTTAACTCAATTAAAATTATTCGCATTGCATTCTAAGTAATTGAAACAAAATGCGAACACACGTGTGCGGCTATTGGAATTTTACAAAACTAATATAATTATTGTGTATCGATGCTTAATTTGGGAAACAAAAACATTTAATTAAATCAATGCAAGGCTCTCATTAGGTATTCCGGCCCAAAAACGAGTATCACACACGGGCAGCCACTTGTAATAAGTACTACGAAAATACTCGACTTTTGTAAATGTTGTTGTTATTACTGTTTATATTTGCACAATAACAACAATGGCAGTAGCTGTAGCAGCAGCAGTGGCAATTACAACAATAATACTATAAACATTAATGCTTAAACACAGACAAATAAACATAAACATTTATGTCAATAAAATGAACTGATGCTTGACCTGCTAGGTCAGATAAAATGTATGTACGTCTGGTTCAAGCGAAACGGCTGACACAGCAGACACACACACACACACATGCACTCTCTCTCACACACACAGTTGCGTACATGTAGACGTGCCAAAAGGCTGCTACATTCCAGTTAATTGCCTTGCTCAAGCCCTGACCCGAGTCGCTCGTATCCTTTGCAACGTCTTTTGTCGCACGCTTTCAGGCATCTAAATAAAATTTGTCGTCAAAGGCGGCCGTCGCACGCACGACTAAACCGAATTGACCCCGTCGCCCCTCCGCAGCAGGTGTTGACCGACTGCCCTTGGTTGGCCCGGTAATTGTTGGTGTAAATGCAGTACTAAGCTGTTCCAACAGCTGCTTCTACTGCAGCTGCTCCTGCTCCTGCTCCTACTCCTCCCCCGGCTGCTGCTGTTGCTTCGATTGCTTCTGCCTTTCGGCCTAATTGAGTTTGCATATGGTTTGCTTTGTACAATTAGATTAGCTGCTCAGAATTTGCTGAATGCCAGCTTTAATCTATTCAATTGTAAATTCTGTCGCTTCTACTTCGAGATCAAGAAATTAATAGATTCATTTAATTTAATCATCAAAGAAAGTTGTTTTTAGGTAATCTATTCACGCAATAACAGCATGTTTTACTAATTTAATTTAGTTTCCAAGCATAACTTGATTTAATTTCTTTTAATTCACTGGAATTCTATTAGCTCAGAAATCCGTATGACATAGGTCAGCAAGTTCGCCACTCTGATTGCTGTGCATATTCCGTTTATTCTTGGAAGCCCTTCAGGGTTAACCACCAGAGATTAGGTTTTTTGTTTTTAATTATCAATAACATTGCATTCATAGAAAACAACCTAATTTATTTGTCGGGAATTGATAATCTTAGCCTTTTCTGCTTAAGAAATTCTGATAAGAAAATACGAAATGCGA